AGTCCCTACCGTTAATGTAATAATTATTACAACAGTGGTTACAGTTGTAATACAGTCCCTACTGTTAATGTAATAATTATCACAATAGTGGTAGTAGTTGTAATTCACAAAGTACATGGTTGTGAAGTTCCGGTGATCGCGCTGACGTGAGCTTATAACTAACCATATCAGTACAATCTTAGACCGACAATAATCCGGCTTCGTGCAAGATAAAGAACGGCTGAAAAACTACTGTAGTGACCTAGAGCAAATAACCCAGGATTTGACCGCTGTAGGATTTACAATATATTTATACATGAACAATAACGTCACAAACGAAATACAGACAGCAACCAATCAGATTAATTGGTTTCTCAAAATATCAACCGTTTTTATATTTTCCCCAAGTTTTCGATTGCTTTGTTGTCTTTACCTAAGTAATTCTGAGTTTCTAAACATACTCTGCGCTTTTAGAGAAAAAATGTTGTTAAGTCAGATGACTTTTTAAAATAGAATTGAATCAATATCGAGCGCGCCATTACCTACATTCGTTATTTGAAGTAACTCGTTTTAGAAATCTTAATCACTAATTGGTAGCACGTGATTTAGATCAGACAATGATATAAAATACAAAGAGCGAAGTGTTTGTTAACATCACTGTTACTGGTTCACCAATGTTAACGTGGGACGAGCGACGGTTGGTGATCCGGGAAAAGAAAGCTGGAAGAACCGATCACAGTATAACAATGATGTTTATTTACAATGAAACAAATAAACTATATATTTAAAGATGTCACACTCGCTAACTCACACACTCATAAACCAAATAATGATAAGTGTCCCTGTAGCTTCTAGCTCACGAAACAGAACAGTGTTCCTGTCAAACCCAATAGAGTTCCATACTCTGAATCACCGTGACTCAATCCAGAGTCACCGTCCTCAAGCAGTTCCACGCTTGTATCACCATAATAGGCAACGCACTTATGTCAATGACATGACAGCTGATTAAGTGCTGAATTCAAGTCGCCGACCCTGGCAGTGTAACTTCTAAGTATGCTCCCTCGCTGACCTTGACCCTGAATGAAAGTCGTTACTTCTGGTCGGTCCTGACGCTTGGGTCGCAATGTAAAGGAGAGGCCTGCCTGGTCCTGACTCAATAAATGTTCCAACCCGTCATGTGAAGCTATAATGATTAACACAAATAGTTATAATTTCCACTCACACTTCCATACTATACTAACAAAACACATGGTACAAAATACTTATTATTTACCATAATTATTCAACTTTAGAATGAACCATAATTAGAAAATACTGAAATACGTTCATATTAGCGTCGAAATAATGTGCGGCTCCAAATTACAAACAAAATAAAACAAAATTACGAAATACACCAACTGACACCTCAAGGCTTCCATACTTTTTCCACTCGTTCGCGTACGCACTACGCTCGGCACTAATAAATTGATCAGGGCTTCCATAGATTTTAAAATCGACCCGAAACATGACATAGACTATGCAGTTTCATGTACAACACTCCAATATGTTTATATCATGTGCATATTTAGGAAAACAAACATAATATATTCAATTATAGTACGAAAACAACAAAAATGAAAGTTATCAACATACAAACAATAAACAATGGTCACGGCTGACTGGAGCGCACAGATACTTAGATTGTTTGACCCGATATATGGACTGGTACAAAACAACAATACCAACTAATATAGAAAAGAAAAAGAGATAAAGATTACTTACCACAGTGAGTCCCCTGTGCCTGTCTCACATGACGCTAAATGCCGATAAATCCATATCGGGTGCACGGTAACAATGACACAATACCTGTCATGAGAATCTCACCCCGTGCACACCTACCCGTGACGCAATTCCGCCTAGCGGTACCTTACCATTAAGGTGACTTACCCCAAGTGTATACAAAATATACATGCTTACGTGACAACCAAACTAATTTTTAAAAATTGTGTCGTAATTTCGGAGATTTTATTTTCAAATATGAGTTCGTTCGAACGGAATTTTCACGGAAGGTAATATATGTTTATTACAAAAAAAATGATACCGTCAGTAGCATTAGCTAAGTCTCCACAAAGAGTAAAACAACATAACAAATTCAATAATCCGGAAGTCCGATAATCCTGAAGACCGATAATCCCGAGTCTAATAATCCGAAGGCTTAATCTACAAACTTTGCTTGATTTTAACAACAAAACTATATATTTTGTTGACCTGAGTATGATATAACATTACGGCATTGACATCCATTTATAAAAACAATTAAACAAGGGGGTGAACTACATGATTTATTTCAAAAGCAAAAATAAAAAAGTTATTTCCTCCGTGTCAATTTCGCGGTAAATTAATTGATTCTTCTATGTAATGACATTGAAGAGATTGTTCGTTTCACTTTGCGAATAACAATATGACCGTAGATCACTTTAGCCTAGAGAACTGAAAACCGAATAAAACCACATGATTTAATTCACCCTGGGACTATTGTGGCAGTTATCTCCCCTATTATCGGTATTGAACGCTTGTGTCATGATTTAGGGAGTACAATAGCCACAAAGAAGCAATTCCGAGACAGTGATGGTCATGTCCACATTACTTTCAACACCACCTCTTTAGGGCTTTCTGTTGAACGTACGTCATTTTCAGGTGTCTCGGAGCGACCTACCAGACAGTGCATTCTCCTGAAACATCCGCCCGTAATCCTCTATTGATACACTGTCCAATGGACATCTTGTTTTTACAGTAGGATACTTCAAGGTCTTTGTCTGTTACCAAATTTCTGTTGAAACGTGAAAATTCTGAAATAAATCGTTTTGTAAAATCAAATTAAAGTTCAAACACAACACACGAAAAACAAAGATGACGTCATCAGCCTATTTCAAGCAACATGCAGAAATTACAAATTCATCAAATTAAGAGAGAATATCGACCTGTTTTGCTTCTTTCTATCGTCTACACAAACTAGGTACATTTAAATGCAATAAAAGCAATAGTATGTTTGAATTAAGATAAACAAATTAACGATTTATTGGTAACGACTGATTAACTTTCTCGTCCTGTCAATCTAGAACAAATACACTTTGTTGGCTGTTTCAGTCTGGAATAAAATGCTTTCCCTTCTCATTCGTGATGTGTCTGGTGATGGAGAAGTGAGCGACGTACATCACCTTCGGCGAGATAAGCGCTTCACCTCCTGACCTACATTCCCTCCTAGTGTCCTAGTAATATTCTGATCATGTTTAGCAGCCGCCATTAGCTTGTGATGGTGACACTATCAAGTTTGTTTTTTATCATGTGACTTCGTCAGGGTGTCGATAATGGCGCGTGATATTGCATCTATGAACCACTTAGTGGGTCAAATACTCCTTTAGCGAGTCCCACGGGATTTAACATCGTCGCCCTCATATTTCCCATAGGACTCCTTCTTCAGCGAAAGCACGTGTAATACTGCCATGTGACCGATGTTGTCTTGAAGAGCTGAGTAATATAAGATCAATGTACCTGATAATGTTTAGGGATTTTTTTTTCAACATTTCAGGAAAGTTTAAACAAAACGGAAATTAGTGATAAACACAGTAAATTCACAGGTATAATCATTTGTATATAGGTACATGTACTTGTATCAGTTTAAGTTGTAAAATGCTCTACACTTCCAGTTCGATAGACGTGTAGGCAAACTATCGCGAGCCCAGACTGTTTCAGTGACATCTACAGCCCAAACTGCATAGACCAGGCACATGTGGTATATTTTTAGCGTTTAAAAGTCAGACCACGCGCGTGTTGTTGACAGACGGGTGCCAAAGAGATATGTACCGGAGAGACATGTGCCGGAGAGACATGTGCAGGAGAGACATGTGCCAAAGAGACATATGTCGGAGAGATATGTGCCGGAGAGACATGTGCCATAGAGACATGTGTCGAAGAGACGGGTGCCGGAGAGACGTGTGCCAAAGAGACATATGCCGGAGAGATATGCTCCGAAGAGACATGTGCCAGAGACATGTGCCGGAGAGATATGTGCCAAAGAGACATATGTCGAAGAGATATGTGAAGGAGAGACATGTGCCAAAGAGACATGTGCCGAAGAGACAGGTGCCGGAGAGACATGTGCCAAAGAGACATGTGCCGAAGAGACGGGTGCCGGAGAGACGTGTGCCAAAGAGACATGTGCCGGAGAGATATGCTCCGAAGAGACATGTGACAGAGACATGTTCCGGAGAGATATGTGCCAAAGAATGTGTCAGAGACATGTGCCGAAGAGATATGTGCAGGAGAGATATGTGCCAAAGAGACATATGTCGGAGAGATATGTGAAGGAGAGAAATGTGCCAAAGAGACATGTGCCGAAGAGACAGGTGCCGGAGAGACATGTGCCAAAGAGACATGAGCCGGAGAGACAGGTGTCGGAGAGACATGTGCCAAAGAGACATGTGCCGGAGAGACATGTGCCGGAGAGACGTGTGCCGGAGAGGCATGTGCCGGAGAGATATGCGCTGAAGAGACATGTGCTAGAGACATGTGCCGGAGAGATATGTGTCAAAGAGACATGTGCCAGAGACATGTGCCGGAGAGACATGTGCAGGAGAGACATGTGCCAAAGGGACATATGTCGGAGAGATATGTGCCGGACAGACGGGTGCCGGAGAGACATGTGCCGGAGAGATATCATCCTAAGAGACATGTGCCAAAGACATATGCCGGAGGGATATGTGTCAAAGAGACATGTGGCAGAGACATGTGCCGGAGATACATGTGCAGGAGAGACATGTGCCAAAAGGACATATGTCGGAGAGATATGTGCCGGACAGATGGGTGCCGGAGAGACATGTGCCGGAGAGATATCATCCGAAAAGACATGTGCCAGAGACATGTGCCGGAGAGAAATGTGCTGGAGAGATGTGTGCCGGAGATATTTGTGCCGAAGAGACATGTGCCGGAGAGACATGTGCCGGAGAGATATGTGACGGAGAGGGGATATGTGCCAAAGAGACATGCGCCGGAGAGACAGTCGCCGGAGAGACATGTGCCGGATAGATATGTGCCGAAGAGACATGTGCCAGAGACATGTGCCGGAGAGACATGTGCAGGAAAGACATGTGCCAAAGAGACATATGTCGGAGAGATATGTGCCGGACAGACGGGTGCCGAAGAGACATGTGCCGGAGAGATATGCTCCGAAGAGACATTTGCCAGAGACATGTGCCGGAGAGACATGTGCTGGAGAGATGTGTGACGGAGAAGTGATATGTGCCAAAGAGACATGCGCCGGAGAGACATGTGCCGGAGAAATATGTGCCGAAGAGACATGTGCCAGACATGTGCCGGAGAGACATGTGCTGGACAGATGTGTGCCGGAGAGATATTTGCCAAAGAGACATGCGCCGGAGAGACGGTCGCCGGAGAGACATGTGCCGGAGAGATATGTGCCGAAGAGACATGTGCCAGAGACATGTGCTGGACAGATGTGTGTCAGAGACATGTGTTAAAGAGACATGTGCCGGAGAGATGTGTGCCGGAGAGACATGTGCCGGAGATATGTGTGCCGGGGAGACATGTGACTGAGAGACGTGTGTCGGTCAAACTTGGCAGTAGGGAATACAATGTAACAAAGAGGCGAAAAGGAGGAGTGCCAGTTGGGGCCACCTGGTGGCCATGACGAATACTTTTTATTTTTTGTCTATTAAAAACTTGAGGTCAGACGGTAATGACATGACATTAATCTAAGGTCAGCTCAAGGCCGTTCAGTTGTTATAGGGGGGACAAGTGGGGGATCAAATTCGTGATTATTGCAATAATTATCAAACTAAATTATTTGTGTATAGTTTTTTTCTCTTAAATGTCATTTAATGATATATTTTAAAACCTTCATTAGAAAAAATGACAAAAAAATATGCCATTGTTGAAAAGTAGGTCACGGTAATTAAGTGCCCTAATTACTAGTTAAGTCACACTGAAGCACCTGATTTCTGATATTTCAGATGAATCCAGTTTCGAGTCTTCACTGGTAGGAGTAAGTGACTGAAGAACGTCGGAATGAATATCACCACCCACGATATGAGAAGCACAGCACCTAGATGTGTTTGGAATCAAGACACCTGTCTTAATAAAAATCTTAACTCTTATTTCCGTGCATGGTTTCACCATTTTACTTTTTTCATCTCTGGACTTTCCACAAACGAAACATCGCGATTCAGTAAGCGTAGCTCGTGGAATATCAAGTTTGATTTTTTTAGAGTCAGGTGTCTCATTCTGATGGTCTAAACCACTGTTAGAATGCTCTACTGGTTCATGGTGTTTGTAGAATATCCTTCTGCATTTCTAACATACAAGGTCACCTAAACATAAATCTTTATTTATGTTATCTTTCAAGAAAGACAGAACATCTGCCTAATTCAGACAATATATTCTGACTTTATAATCTGCTTTGCAGCAAGCACACTGCTAAACAAAACTAAACAAAATACTATAATACTATTATATATTTGTCACACTTGTATGAATGAAATCATATTTAACGGTTTAGTGATACAAAAGATATGTGCATAAGTCAATGCATGTACGAACTGCACAGAACATAGTATACTTATACATCTGGATATACCATGTGTTACATACACTGCATTGTAGATTACTGAAGTTTGCTAGTGTTTAAAACAAGTCCATTAGCAAGGTATACATCAGGGAGATGTCATGATGTCATACTATTTTATGTTAAAGCTCTAGTGTCAAACCATCTTATGTTAAAGCTCAAGAGTACAACTAATGCACGGAAGAATTATTATACTGTGAAATTTATTTGAAATAATTTTTCATACAGTATAATTCAATATTCATTTTCATTAACCGGAATAAGATGGTGACTGGTGCTCTTGCACTTTAAATTGTAACTAGTCTATTTAAATGACATGCCTCACTTACCCTGACTGTAACTTCTTCATTGCTTTAATTCATGCAAAATATTTCAAATAAATACACTGCACGTGATAAACGTATTGTTTATATGACAAAAAACGGTGCTCAAGCGTGACTTAATTAGTAATTAGGGCACTTAATTACCGTGACTTACTTTTCAACAATGGCATATTTTTTTGTCATTTTTTCTAATGAAGGTTTTCAAATATATCATCAAATGACATTTAAGAGAAAAAAAACTATAAAAAAATATTTTAGTTTGATAATTATTGCAATAATTATGAATTTGATCCCCCACTTGTCCCCCTATAACAACTGAACGGCCTTGAGCTGACCTTAGATTAATGTCATGTCATTACCGTCTGACCTCAAGTTTTTAATAGACAAAAAATAAAAAGTATTCGTCATGGCCACCAGGTGGCCCCAACTGGCACTCCTCCTTTATTATTCTAATATACACGCAAAAGTATTTGTGTGATTATACACTTATCAAGCTGAAGAATCAAATTAGTTAATTCACATAACCACCCAATACCTCACAAATAGTATCCTGGTAAACTGTTATATAACATATCGTTTGTGCATTTAGAATTGTTGTGTTTGAGATTTAGAGAACAAAACTTGCAAACTCATAAATCTTCGTTACGAGTAGCATCGATTTCGCATTAAAACAATGGGCAATATGGTTGGATGTTACAGCGGATTTTCTTGAAGTTCTGTAAAACAACAAAAACTATCCTGCTTGTTAGGAGAGCCTTGACCTATTCTCACTTCATAGAAAAAAAAGAAACCACAAAATATAATCACTTTTGACACATATGGGACTCGAGTGAGGAAATTCTTGGATATTCCATGAGGACTGCCCCCGAGTCAGTGACCGTTAAATTGCTTCTGTCAGGACATTATTACTGGAGGGAGACAAAAACTGACCGAAGGAGCAATACTCAGTGTGTGATAATCACACCACATCACCTAGTACTCCCAAGCCTTACAGATGAGCCATCATTGTGCACGCTTTATAAAATAACGATGAATAAATGTTAGAAGGTTTCGCTAAACGTGAAAACTTTAAAACTTCGCCGGACGGAATCTGATGTTTGTGTAAAACTAACGTAAAGTTTTTATTCCGTGAAAAAGCATTCTGTAATTACTTACAAGGTAGACGCATAGTAAATTGAATTAAATTGAAAATAAATTGGACAACGTCTTTATTGCGTTTACGTTCATATGAACGCAATGGGATATAAACTAATTTTGTATATAATGTTTGAAATATGTCTGTATCTCAATACGATAACAATAATAGTATCCTAAATTAATTTACTCCTTGGTAATTTATATATCAGAAAACAATACTGTGTAAGCGATGTAATTAAAGCAGGCATCAAGATCATCAATGTCGATGGAACCCGCCTTGAGTGCCGCCATTTTGATTTCCAACACAAAGAAATTAAGTCGATGTGATTTCTCAGATCTCTAGGAATATTTTGATGTTGACGTTAATGACTTTCCGATCTCAGGACGTATTCAGGACGTAGTTTTATCGGGTACAATGCGTATCCGACTACCAAACTTGGACATTGACCAGCCCTTGATTCCTTTGAACAATCTTATAAGATTGCAGGTGGTAGACACACATTGCTGGTGGACTTTTGGTCCCCGAGATTTGACGTGACATGCATGTAATATTTTGATTAATTTGAATAGTGGCACAGCTTAGAATATACACCACTATGGGGATTAGTGCCATTCTCCCTTAATGTTTTACTTTCCTCCAAAACGAAATAGGTATTATTCTTATTTTTAAAAGTTAAAGTGATTGAAGTTTTAAAAAAAGTGGAAAGACAAAAATGGTAAATCGTCCCTGGGAAGAAAATTGCCATTTACTTGTCTCGATTGCAACTCGAGGAAATTTTCAAATCTTTATTGATTTTGGAAGGACGAAGGAAAATCCAAGGCAACCGAAAGAAATACAAAAATTATAATTAAAAAAAATCGTAAATTTCATATATCTGTTAATTTTAGAAGAACGCCAAGAACATATAAGGATATTCTGAACCGTGTCACCATTCGAATGAATCAACATATGACATGAAGGTTAGGGTAAACCTCAGGGACTACAAGCCACCAGCAGTGTCTACCTCCTGTAATATCAAATATTGTAGGAAAACACACGAGAACGCCAAGTGCACGTGAAATAGGGTTTTGTATATAACTTGACGTGTCATTAAGACAAAAGACACACAAGAACGCCAAGTGCACGTGAAATAGCGTTTTGCATATAACTTGACGTGTCATTAAGACAAAAGACACACAAGAACGCCAAGTGCACGTGGAATGGCGTTTTGTATATAACTTGACATGTCATTAAGACAAAAGACACACAAGAACGCCAAGTGCACGTGAAATAGTACTTAACGTGTCATTAACACACAAGTTATTATTGGGTGATTTTCATTCAAACCTGAGGATTTTCTTTAGTTTTCGTGCTTTTCCTAAAACATGAGATATACCCTTTTCCTCAGTGCAGAAAAGACAAGTCTGCAGCAGTTGTTTGACACACCAGTTGGCACTTTTACGTCAGCATTTCATTAATTGAAAGATTTTCAATCAAATCACGGTAAACTACTTTATAGATATTTCACATCGTGTAGGTTAAGTACAAAGGACAGGTTTGCACGTGAAGATAATGAGGTAGGTATATCAGTGTAAATAGTGGTCGGAGTTAGCAGTAGTTTGTTGATCGTACGGTCTTCAATCAGTATCATCCAAGTTTAATGCGATTTGACGAACCAACTGTAGATTGTACCCAGGGAAAATTGTCATACATCACGCCAATAGTTCTGCAATTGATTAGTGAGATTCTTTTGAAGAAAGCCATATATTCATTATATTTTATCATCCACTAATTTCAAGCGATCACCATGATTAAGCTTTTATTAATGTCCTACGCGAAACCTGTCGTTTTCCTACACTGATTGACCTAATATTCCTATGCTGATTGACCTAATATTCCTACGCTGATTGACCTAATATTCCTACGCTAACTGACCTAATATTCCTATGCTGATTGACCTATTATCCCTACGCCAACTACCATAATATTTCTGCGCTGGATATGAGTAACTGGTCTCATATTCCAACGCTTAAAGGCGTAATATCCATCCACTGACTGTATTAATATCCCTATATTGAATGGCTTAATATACCTCCACTGACTGGCCTAATATTCCTCCACTGACTGGTCTAATATCCCTCCACTGACTGGCCTAATATTCCTACACTGACTGGCCTAATATTCCTACACTGACTGGTCTAATATTCCTACACTGACTGGCCTAATATTCCTACACTGACTGGTCTAATATCCCTCCACTGACTGGCCTAATATTCCTACACTGACTGGCCTAATATTCCTACACTGACTGGTCTAATATCCCTCCACTGACTGGCCTAATATTCCTACACTGACTGGCCTAATATCCCTCCACTGACTGGTCTAATATTCCTCCACTGACTGGTCTAATATTCCTCCACTGACTGGTCTAATATTCCTCCACTGACTGACCTAATA